ATGATATGCCAGTCATTACTGCAGGATATTCACGGAGGGTGAAATTCATTCTTTTGAAACGAGGTGGGACAAAAAGGCTTGTATGCCATACCACCTATACGCTTCATAAGTCCAAGTGTGTGGGCTCAAAGAGTACATTGGTTTGAGCACATTTCAAAAGAGGTGAATTTCACACTTAACTAATTTTTATGTCTGTTCAAGAGTTCAAGCCCAGTTACTAAAGATACATTCCCTGGCACCAGCCCAGATTTACATCTGACCTACCTGAGAAATTTGTTGAGATACTGCCTGCTGCATACAGACCAAGAAAACACTCCATTGTTTCCTGTGAGTGTGGGAGACATAATATTACCCTCAGCTTTTCTACAAGGGTTTCCTTCTCCATCATGAATCATACCAAAGCTGAAAAGAGAACCAGGCATGAGAGTGAAAATGTAGATTAAACAGAAGTAAGACACAATTTGGGGCAGAAGAAACATTTTCTGGGTAATAGCTCTATGCTTGAACTCCACAGGGAATGTGGAATTCATCTCTTTCATTCCAAAGGGATGAAAACATATGCACCATACAAATGACTATTAGTATGAAACAACTTCCAATTAATAGCATTTCAATTTTATTGTTATCATATACTTGTCTGATGAGAAAAAGATAGCCAAGTTTCAAGGGAGACCCATATTGGTGATGCACAGGAGCTCTGCAACATGAGCTAATGACAAGACCCTGGCACATAAATACCGAAGCTGCAGACTGTGTCAGAAGCTTTACAGTTTAACCATTTCTCTTTCCTGAAGGAGAAATGTTTTATGGTGAGATGGATGGAAGTAGCGGATCTTATGTTCAGTCATACTTGTGCTTGCCTATAAATCTATCAGCTTAAAACACGTCTGCAGTCCGAGCCTTTCTTTGTGCAGTGATAATGCCTGTTAACATGAACGGTGTGGAGGTCAGAACGCAGGGAAAGCTGTAAGAATATAACCTAACTGTCCTCCTAACAGGAGGGAAGAACTACCTAGCTGCATCAGTCTGTAGCAAAAGAAGTGGGATTGAATGAATAGAATACAAGGTATGAATACAAAAATATGATTGTCTTTCTAATTTTGGCCACTAACTTGCTATATTATCTCAGGTAAATCACTTTCTTTTCCTCACCTTTGTTATACACTAACACTTACTTTGTCTAGACTGTAACTTCTTTAGTGGGGATATTGCCTCTTACTGGGCACTTTGCTCAGTCTGCAGCATCATGAGGCCCAGCTTTCACTAGGAGAGGTGTTAGGATCATATAAAGAATAATAAGCAATAATGAAAACCAAGTTAAGAATGATAAATCATGTGGAGCTTATGGTTACAATAAAGCTAATTTTAAAGTTTTTTTTTTTCCCTTCACTGTTCTATATTTACTCACTGTACATCTGTGAATTTCAATATGTTTCGAATAGAAATTTCATAATCTGTTACTTCAACATTGTAGTACATCGGTGACTTTATGAATGTAATCTGTGCATGTGCAGGGAGTATCTAATTTACTGGACTTGATCCTCTACTATTATAAATCATTGCAGGCTCATCAGAGTTCCTGCATGTGTTGCCACCAGCTGAGGCTCCAAACTTGCTAAAATATATGGCTCCTTCTATAAATGGACAAAAAAAGTCCCAACTGAGCTAGTATTTTAGAACCCTTTATAACAGACTAACTTTGTTCACATGCACTGCAGCCAAAGAATCCACAGTTTATATACCCACTGACACAATGGGCTCTGAACTCCCAAAGGAACTGTTAAGCTTTCAGGTAAAAACACAAGCTACTTGAAGAAAACCATAGAAATGTGTAACAACTGAAGCTACTCAATGGATCACAGATGATCTATACAGTATACAATATTCTCCTGCTATGAAATCCTTAGGTTAATATATTCAAAGTGGACCTCAGCACCTCCATAGCTGTCACAGGTTGGTTGTTTTTTTTACTTCCAGAAATCTCTGTATCACAAAGAATGAGTTCTTTTGTGTTAGATCACATACTAAGTAGTCTCAGGAACATGAACATGAACAAATTATAAAGATATTTTGTATCTGGGGCAGAATTTTTCCAGGAGATAAGATGCATTTTATTAGACAGGAGTATGGAACTATACCAAAGAAAGGCTGAATAATATGAGACTCAAAGGCAGTGGTGAAAAAGAAACAAATCAGCATTAAAAAATTTCCAAGAATAATCTCTCAAAGCAAATAAGAAAATAAACAGGAAGGAAGGACATTAAGAGACTAAAGGGGATAATTATTGAAAAATAAGCTATGGGCCTGATTATCTCCTAATACTGATCGAAGGGCATTAAAAATGTACTGAGGTCAGTGAAATTGCATTAGTGTGGCAGGAGGATCAAACAATATATATTTTACATATTTGGTCCCACTGAAAGCCTTGGCACAATTCCCACGGGCTTCACTGGTAGCTGGATTATTCGTTAATTCCTTGTTTCCCTTCAGATGTACAGAAACCTGTGAAAGGGTCACTCATGTAGACATTAGGTCATAGTATATACTGTAGAGCATATTTGTACAATGAAAACTGAATAGTCCTGATTCAATCATGCAGAATCGGAAGGATTCATGCCTTGACCAAACAGCAGAATACAGTACCACTGCTTTTCAACTACTGCTCTCCAGTAATGTTGCTGCACAAAGTAAAGATCCTTTGCCCATGTTTTATCTGACCCTTGATTTGTACCACATAGAGAAACTATTGTTCTATACTATCAGTGGTTAGACAAAGTCCAGCTTGAGCTATGTTAAAACTGAAAATCAAAACCATGCAAAAAGTTGTGAAAAAGTAACAAAATTATTTGGGGAAAAAAAAAAAACAGGAGAGCAAAACCTAATCATCTTCTTTAGATTTAATTCAACAGTTCAGAGAATAGCTGAAGGTCCATGGAAGACTATTGACTGATTTTGTTTGAGAGACAGCAGGTTCCTAGAAAAATTACAGTCTTATTACCATAGAAATCCAATAGATGGATTTCCATTTGATTTCCATTTCACTTACATATTTATTTCTAGAACAAGCATGTAAGACTCATGAAAAATAACTTACTTGTGTCCAGATTCATGAGCAATTGTAAAAGCCAGTCCAAGGCCTGTATCTTCATTAATGGTGCAACTACGGTATTTGCTGCACATGCCACTGATAGGTGCAAACCCTGAAGGAAGGAAGCAGTAGAATAGCTTGTCGCCCTACAGAATTCCAAACACACGTATCATCTGCACTGGTCCTAATAAGCCACTCTATTGTGGTGCATGAAGACTGTTGTCTACTTCATCAGGTTTATCACGGAAGAATTATAGCTGACTTTTATTTGGCAATAAAGGGAATCTGGTATAAGAAAGTATAAATCAAACTTAATCTCCCAAAATACACTTTACTTGTAAAGATTATTTTTCCTCCCTGTTATGCCTTTACTGCTTCCAAATTAGGGAGGAATCCCATTCAAAAAGGGCAAGTAGTCACAAGAGAAAAAAAAAATAAAAATCAGAGTGTCTGAGAAATATTCCAAAATCAAAAATATTCCTTGAAGAAGTGACAATCCAAAAAAATGTCTTCAGATAACTTATGTTTCTACTATTTATGGGGCAATGGTATCAGTGATACCAATAATAATACAGAAATATCAGAAATTAAAATTTATTCTAGATACCTCAAAGACAAATATGTAACAATAACACTGTTCTTTCCTCTTCAAGAAGGCTAACTTTATATGCAAAAATTTACTTTTTTGTTTTATAACATTTCAGTCTCTATAATCAAGATGCTGCTGTTGACACCCACGAATTTCTCAGAATGTCTTTTCATATCATACCTAAAGTATCACAGGGCTCATTTTTCCAAGAGCAGATATCAAAACCTGTAAGCAAGATGGCATGGTCATGGCGCTTCCCATTCTTCCCAACCAGAGCAGATTGCCATTGGCAAAAGCTGTTCAGTGACTGGTCTGCATGGTGGTTAATCAGTAATCCACCCTGTAGATATTTCACAGACACAGAAATAAGGTGCTTCCATCAGTACTTGAGAAAGGTGATTGAAAGAATAAGAGTTGGTTAGGGAAAAGGAATTACTTTTTCATATTTGTTCGACATAAACTTATATATTCCCACGTTAACTGTCAGTGATGACCAATTCAGTTGATGAGTGAATCTATTACAATTGTAAAATAAAACTGCGTCTCCCCCCAGATGCATAGATATTTTCAAAGTCAGTGGTTGGAATTACAATGTACAAATATATTTGATTCCTGATAAAGCTGAACACTAAACTATTTTCAATCTTATGATTAAAATTTTTGGAGATTTCTGTGGAGGAAAAGCAATATCCAAGTAGATCAACCCATCACGAATTTCTTTTCATCAAAAGAGATTTTGTCGTCTTTCGTCTCAGCACCCTTGCCAAAAGAATTGGCTCCACTCCCACCTTTTGTTACATGTTACAAGGAACTTTTGACTCCTTCCCCCTTCTGATCATCACATCCTGGAAAGCCCAAAACAAAATTTCTTTCTTTATTTAAATACTTCTGAAGTAGATTTCTTATTCCAGACATTTCTCTTCAAGAAAATGTTGGAAATTTTAAAGTTTTATCTTACTAGAAGCATTTCAATGTTTCTAAAGAACATTTATATGAAATGAAGATTTTAAGTATCAGAAACTGAGAAGCAGTGAAATGCAGAAAGTGTGATTTTGGACATTTTGTAATTTTAATCTTCTCGTGCTTTATGTTTTAAGAAACCTCTAATGAAAGTTTATGTACATAACATGGGAACACCCAAAGCTCTCTATGAACAGTAGCACATGAAGTATACCACACAAGAATTCTGACACAACTTACAGGCTCTTGTTCCAAAAGAAGAAGACTCACAACGATAATGTTTATATCGCTTCCAATTGTTCCATCTTTAAACAGACTAGAGACCTGCAATGATTATTGAAGAAGAAATATCATCTACTTGTACAATGTTTTTTAATAGACTAAACATATGCATCGAGTTATTGCATTGGGCTTCAATTTTCAATACAAATTAATGGAGTTATATACCTCATAGGATTAATCCAAAAGAGCTTAACTCAGAAGAATTATGCACCAAACCACTACACTTAAAAGATTTGGAAAAGTTTCTATTGATTTCAGTGGGCTTTGTTCTGTCCTTGGTATCCTAGATCAAGTGTAATCAAATTCAAAGTTCAAGTTCAAGTTTTGTAGTACAAAACTGAAGAGTAAAGCCACAAAGGAAAACATTTCTAGTTAAATATTATTTTTCTCAAATAAACTGGAGTTTCAAGGAGTGACATCAGACAAAACACACTAAGCTTCGTGATACTAAATTAAATGAAAGTTTCAGTTTCAGAGTATCTGCCTTTTTTGTGCAGCACAAGAAATATTTTAGAATTTAACATTTTAAATATTTTTCAAATTTTTTTACAGTACTGTTGCCAGACCTGTGATAATCTGAGGATGTATTTTTAAAGAGCTTTTTGATGTAAGTAATACATTACATGAGGCTTGAAGAAAGGCTTGTGTAAGGTGCCCCTGCTCTTTTTGGTATCGCTATTTTTCTAATGAAAGATCCTACTTTGACATAACAATATTCCACAGGGAAAATATACTCCAGTTACACCACATCTTACCATATTCATAACTGTTAAGATGTACGTTGTTACATTTTCCTTGCCATGTTTCTCCAACATTTTTTTATCTGCCACAACAAGGGTTTCAACATTTAAACTTCCATTTTTCTGAATTTTAGCAGATGACCTTTTGAACCTTGCAGAAGTCCCGTATTCATCCGAGCGAATGTATGTTTCTCCTGTGGGTGGCTTAGGTGCATCTAAAAGGAAATAAAACTCAGTTTTGGAATGGGTTCAGATCACCCATGAATAGTTTAATCAGAAAATGAAGTATCACAGGTTTAGAGTCTTAGATTATTTTTACAGCATGTGATTTAATACTTATGGCTAAGTTCTTGTATATTTATTAAAAAGGACCTGATTCACTCCTGAGGGAAGGATGGCTACAGGGAGAGAAGGAAATGGGAGAAACACATTTGTATAAAATAAGCAGTTTAAAATAAGGAATTAATCTGATCAAGTGGTAGCATCTGTGGCAAAAAATACATTTTTCCTGTCCTTTTGATGACTTTCTGAGGTGTTTGGCATGTACTACTTACATAGCAGTTGGTAAAGTCCTTTCCACAACAGATGTCCACCATCAGTAGAGAAAGCAGACACACACCACAAGTAAGATTCCTGCCAGCCTGCTATTGTGAGTGGCATTAGCCTTCTATGCGAATTTGCCACTGAGATTAATCCTGCTGGGAGCATATTTATTTAGTATAGGGAAATGTCAGGCAACAGCAAGGAGGGCTCGACAACAGGATGTCAGCACCCAGCCCACCCACCCCAATGCCAAGGTGCATTTTTTCCCCTCTGTGCTTGTGCAGCATGGTCAATGGTATGGTTAAAGAATGGTCTCTACTCCATTTCTTCAGAGAGCCAGAAAACAGGAAAAATAAATCTATGTTCTACGTCTTGTAATGCTCCTGTTAGTCATAGCTTCTTTTGCATACACTTACACTGCCTTTGCATCAAGAATTAATTCAAAGGATACTTTAACATACTATTTGGATAACAATAGGAATTTTTTTTGACACAGGATGTAACATGACATAAGTGAGGGACCCTCAGGTAATTAAAAAAATGGTGCCTGTCCCTCATCAGAAAGTTATTCCAACAAGACAGCTAAAAGAGATGCTACTTCCTTCGATGCCAAAGTGGGACGTGAAGAATACCAAAGAATGCACAACAGTGGTCTGCTTTCAAGAACTAAGTCACTCTGAACTATATTTAACATTGCAAGTGGCTCTGCTAGTAAGATATTTCAATGTATCACTCATTATAAACAATTGTCCTTTACAAGCTCAAAGAACTTTTATCTTATGGAAGCACATCAAGACATGAAGACAGGCCTCACCCAAGAGTGAAGTGTTCAGTTCACAGCACATCAGTTTCCATGTGCTATTTTGAAGGCAATACAACTTGAAGGCATTTGACTCATAAATTCATGGGCAGTGGAGTTTTGTTCTTGAATTAATTTCACTGCTACTAATAAAACCTAAGCAGCAGCAACATTTCAAGCATGATTTACTAACTACAGTCCAGTCAATTCTCATGATTTAAAAAGATTTAGATTGTGAAGAAGAGTTGGAAAGATTATTAACTGGCTTTTCTAGTGCTTACAAACTGCCAGCATATGAAATTTGAAAAGATGGTGAGTGGAACAAGCTACTTTTATGACACTAAAAGTGGCAGTGTGCTCTTCCCTCTTACTGTTCAGCAAGCTTGGATCCATTCTTAGGTTAGGATAAATTAACCTTGACTAGGCAGCGTTAATAACGAAGGACTGCCTGCCATAAGACTGCATTCTCAATGCCTCTGTTCATTCAAACTGAAATTTTCTATTCCAGGTGACCAGATTGGATTTTGCTGAAAATTTCAAACTGATAGGACTCCAGATCTCAGAACGAGACCAGGAAAACAATGCAAAAAATTAAAAAAGAAAAAAGAAAAAGAAAGTAAAAGAAAGGAAGAAGAAGAAGAAAAAAGCCCCAAGTACTCATAGAAGGGGTGCTGCCTTTACCAAAGTGATATGGTTTTCTTCTACATCCTATATCTGTGCCTTTTCAATTAAACAATCACACAGGATTTGATTTGTAGGAGGGCATTTGTTCAGTGAACATGAGATAAACTTGTTCTATAGATTAATCAGGGCTGGGTATGGAAATAGGTTGTTATTTTTTAGAACTCTTCCTTCCTTTCTCTCAGGAAGTCACACGTATGTACTGCATGAAGGGAAAGACTGCAGGATGTGAAAAGAAAGATCAAGTGCAATCTTGCTTAATCGGATTCTAACAGTGTGTCTGACACCAAGTTCTTAAGCAATTATGGGTAAATCACTTATACTAAACTCATCACAGTTGGATGTGAATTGCATGTTCTTCATTTAACATAAGCCCAGCTTGAATACGCAGCTAAGAGCTGATAGTAGTAACTGAAATTATTGAACATATAGATACACATATACAATTACAGGAATATATATTCTGTTAAGTACTTTAAAGAAAAACTCAGTTTATCGATTTGGTACCCAGAAGCAATGGTTATTTTTGACCTCTCCTGTGTCTGTGAGTTCCATTTATAAGACAGGAATAATGATATTATCTTCTCACATCCCAGGAGGTTATGAAAATACACTGTTCAAAATGTACTCATTTATTGTAGGGATTGTAGGGAAAAGCACCATTTAAAAGCTCAAGAGGACATGAATAATTCTGATTTGGACAAGCAGTCACAGGGGGTATAGTAAATAAGGCACAAGACCACAGTGGACAATGCAAATAAAATAAAACACTGTAGAGCAGATGAGCTAATTTAGCACCATTACACTCTGCTCTGAAGCAGGCAGCAGGAAAACCAGACAGGAGGGAAAGGGAGGATGTAAATGAGGTAGTTTTGAACTGCATCAGAATGCAAATGTTTACACATTGAATCATAGGCTTGTGCATCTGGCATTTGAGGTCTAGTTTCCAAGTCTAGTGAGAAGAGTTTTTGAAGAAGCAGTCAATTTTTAATAAGCAGCTTTCAGGACTCAGATAGGCCTTAGTCTAAGACAGCCACCTTTTCCACTACCTTCTTTCTCATTCCTTCCCTTCTATTTGTTTTTCTCTTTCTTCCCTACATGCCTTTTGGAAAAGGAACTTATTTTCTCAGAACTCAAGAAGGAAGTTGGAAGAATATAACTGGGCTGAGACAATGTTTTCAATTCTGTGTGCAGTCCTGGAGACCCTCGTTAAGGAACCTCAGCTGAGAAGTGGATCAGCTTTCAAACAGAATCAACTGAATGCTCTAAGTATGGATATAGGGTCCAAGGGGGCTCTAAAACGTTCTGCAATTTGAGAGCCTAATGAAGGACTCAGAATAGACCTTGGCAGGATACTATATTCCAATATGGGTTTTAGGAGGTGGCTGCAAAATCTTATTTAAACAGTTTACATGGGAGGTTATTTTTGAAGATCTCAGTTGCTGAAAATTTCATTATCAAATGGTGAATTAAGACTTATTCTCTATCCTCTCAGAAATTAATGATTTGGAAGACTTTTTCTTCATCTTCAAGAATAATTAGTTATATATCCCCAAACTAACAGAGAGCAGTTCAGGGATTTGGCATCCATCACTGTGCAAAAGCAGCAATCTAAACCAGAATTGCTTACTGAAAACTATGTCAATGTCAAAAAAAAAACAGGCAAGGGATTTTTTAATCTAGGTAGAGAATAAGAAAACTAAACAGTGATTCTGATGGTTTAATAAAATGGATGATGACACCAATTTAAAGGAACAATCAGATTTCTCATATCTATTTTGCTTTATAAATGTATTTTTTTAAATTATCATGTCTCCATCACAAAGGTGACTATGAAGCACACCTCAAAATCACCATACAGTCTCTAAGAGCCACTATCTCAAACAAGGAGAAAAAGTTTCCTTACATACATTTCTTGCGACGTCCACAAAAATGTTGCTTTTGAAACTTTCCATGGTGGTAACCATTCGCTTGAGCATGATACTTGTGGGAAGTGGGAATTCTGTGATGACCAAAAGAAAAGTATTTGGGATTCGACTGTACTGTGTACCGGTGCACCTTCTCTTCTGCAGTTCGTTTATATAATACATGAGGATGGTGTCCAGCAGGTGATGTGTAGTTGTGCTCCTGTGCTAGCTGCTGAGGTAATGGAGAAATAAGGAACTCGATCTTCCGTGTCCTTATCAAACCTGACTAAAAAAAAACCAAAACAAAACACCATCACAAATGAGAGGAAGGATTGTCAAGGTTCACAGGTGAAATATGATAGCTCTTAAAGCGATCTCCTTTCAATGCCTAGACAGATTGACCTATGCTCCTCTAAATTAGATTCACTCCAGATATAATCTAGATAGTCTTCCCAATTTAAGTATGTACTGTTTCACTTTGGAGATGACTAGGTTTCACATTTGGTAACACACAGAACAAGAATGTTGTGGGACTGACAGCTTAGCACCTTCACACAGTACCTTGAATAATTTCATATGCAATATTAATCCATTCTTCGCAGCACAGATTTGTTTGTATGTGTGCTTGTGTACAGTCTCACATAAAAAGAAAATGCTTTTGGAAAATGCAACTCCTAATAAATGCATATATTAGTAAATCAAAATGTTTTAATTAAGATTGAGGGTTTTTTCAGAACAAGGTATTACCAGACAGGAATCTCAGACTTAAGGTTACTCTAAGTAGAAACGTAAGCACATTGTGGTACAGCAACACAAAGCTGAAGCATCTGAACATTTTAGTATTATCATTCAGTAATCAACTCCTGCAATTTAATCATCATAAAGGCAGTTTAAAATGTATGCCCTCCTACAGGAGGAAACTGATCAGTGAAAGCAAGTATCTGATTGTTTTTCTTCCTGGATCCCTGAAAGACATAAGTAAGTATGGGAAAACTACACTGTATTTTTCACATAGTATCTATGCATAAAACTGCACATGTGATGAAGTGTTTCCAGGATCAGGGCCAGGGAAATGTGGGTGGCACTGAGGAAGTATTTCCATGCAGCTCATTAATCAGTTATGATTTTATTTCATTTCTTGGTTTTGTAAAACATGTTGTAATAAACACTCTTTTTTACTAAGTCAAAAACCAAGAAGTTGTTTCATCAGGTAATTCTATTACATTATATACGTAATACTAGATACAGATTTTTGTTTTGGATCAGTGAAGCTCCACCATGTGCCAACACCATCCTGCCAAAATTGACATCCCATGAGGACTACATATCTCTTAAGCTTCAGGAAAATATGTGCAGACAAACAAATGTCAATTGCAAACCATCTTGCCCGACATCTTAAGTCCTCCCAGATCATTATTCCCCCTCCTTCCTCAAAACGTATTCTTTGAAAACACACATATTAGACATGTATCACCTATTTCCCTTCTGAAATGGATGCTTTTCTTCAGCCTAGCCTCCTAGGACCAGAATGCCAAGGGTATCAGAAGGAAAGCGGTCTGAATGCCTAATGTAAGCACTGTATTTCTTAAGGATTTGTGGAATTTTCTGCACTTTCAGAACTGTTTCCCATGAAGAAAACCCAACAGAAAATGAAAAGCAAGTGAAAATAGAAAGATACATATGAAATCTTCACAGCTTTAACTGTTTTTTAAGCTAATGCTAAAACTGACTTTAAGTCTATTCCAGTTGAAAAGATTTATCAGGCATATACAGGTCTTCAACAGTCCATAGTCAGAAACTCTGCCCTCTTCATGGAAATTCACTTCTGTCTTTCCAAATCAAAGGTACCTTCACAGTACTCCCCAGTATAAGCATCTTTCACAGGGGGCTAATCATAGCACTCATAAAATCATACTGTGGTTTTAAATTTTGACAATAGAAGAGATTCCGTATTATGAACTAGGAGGGACTAATTGCCTCCTGAAAAATAATAAGAAAACAAATATAGATGATATGCTGATTAACAATTTTCCCCCTCTCCTTTCTTCTACATCAATTCATAATTACATATCTCAGCCTGTATCTACTTAACATTCTATATGAAGTTAAAATTGCCTCTGTCAATAAGAGACAGGCTTTAAATAATTGACAAGAATCTAACTTGCCTGCTGACTGCAATAATTTGGCATATTTCAAATGTCAGATCACATTTGGTCATGAGAAAATACTTTCCTGTAGGGAAGAAGACTAATATTTTAATCCTTATGCTGTGTGTCATCACACAATTTAAAAGTGGTTTCGAGAGGCAATCTTTATCTATGAGAGTACACTGATAATTGGGCACTGCTAAAGGATTTTTTTTTCTCATCTGGAAAACAGAAATGTAGTGAATCTGGTTTTTATTTCCCCGTTTTAAAGATTTCCACATCTGAAATTATTCCTGTAGGATTCATTTTGTAAATTATTCAAACCATATGTAACAAAGAGTTTTCTACATTTTCCTGTAAGAAACTGTCCCTGATGTACACCAAGTTTCAGCCCCAAATGTAATTTCTATATTTAACATTATAAGGGTGGATTGAGAATTTGGGGGCAGTGGGGAGAGGGAAGCAAACTGAATTCCAGGCCCTGTACTGCAAGCACCTTTACATTCGCTGTAGCTGAGTGTTTTACAAATGCATTCACTTTTTTCCTAGCAAAAATGACCCTAAATCCCCAAAAAGACTTCTTTCATTTGGGTTTTACATCAGACACATCCTCCAAATTGACAAATGTTGTGTGAATGAAAGATACCTTCTTTTTTGATAACATCTAGTTTATGAAGTTGTCAAGAAGAAAGGGGAAGTGCCACAGAACAGTCTGGACACTCATTCAATCACAGACCATTTTCCATTTCTTCCAGGTATGGGATGGTTTCAAGGATTCATTTTAAAATAATCTCTTTGGTAATTCCAAAGTAATGCTGAGAATGCTGACCTGGCTTCTGACAGAGATACAGTCCTCTGGATCACTGCAAAGGGGGCAGTTGGGCAATAACTGCCAGATACTTTTCTTGCAAGTTCTTGAATTTTAGCCTTAGCAAAGCAGCCTATGGCTATGGCCATGTTGGCTGGAAAATATGCCAGCTGAGAAATGCCAGAGCACAGAGGCAGGGTACTAGCACAGAATCATCTTTTCTAACTTTACGCTGCCAAGGAATTCCAGCTTCTTGAAGGACAGGTTTTGGCTAGTCTGTACTCCTGGGAAGTGTGTTCAAAAACAAGTGTTCCTGGGCATTTTTTTTCTACATGAAAGATATCTGGAATTGTAACTTAGATGCAATAAGTTTCTCCAGCTCAAATATTTCACTAGATGAACAAATACTGCAACATTTTCATGGAAATTTTATGCATTAGGTTTTCCTACTGCCAGCATAGTTTTAAGTATACATGTGATTCTCCTTGAATCAGAACTCAGTGATATCTTTCCATTAACTCTGGGACCCAACAAGGAGAGGGTCAGATAGGTCAAAACCCCATTTTTATTTCAGATTCTCTGTAATTATAACATCATGAGAGGAAGCAGGATGACAAAATCTAACATTTTTACTAAGTCTAGACAACACAGCATGAAAAAGACCAGGGACTCCTGTCTATGCCCTCTCTCTCCCACTGTGGCTATCACTAATAATAGCAGCAATTGTGAGAATATGGTGGGAAGGAAAACCCAAGAGATTGCTCAGTTGGAATTTGCTATTTTCTTGTTCTTCCCTCACAACACATTATTTGCTATTTTTCTGCAAGGGATATTCCACGACATTGGAAAGTTAACAGAATGACATACGTTGTTCTGTGTGGGTAGCAAATAATTCTGAATCAATAAATTAGAGGAACTTGTAGTTTGTTTGCAGAAAAGTTGAGAAGCGATGAGAAGGCAGCGTTCCTCCCACTTGTTATTTGTTATGAAATGTTTGCTTAGCTCTGGGCTAAAGGAATTTTCAGATCCAATACGTCTTTGTGAAATTCCTCTGTATCAGGGTGTTATCACCAAGGCAAGGCACTTGTTCTGTTTTCTTGGTGTGTTTCAAAAGGAGGAAGAATCTCAAAATGAAATTTGGACAAGGGAAATGATAATAAAATATCTGCCTCAAGATTTTTTTAATTGAAATTAAGACTATAAACTAAAAAATAAGGAGAATTTTTTAAAACACTGAAAGTTCATCTTAGCTATACAAAACCAGGTAAATCTTCCATTGTTTTTAGACCCACATGGAATGGTTTTGAGAGTCACACTCTAACATATCTGTTTCTAACAGGTCTCATTGGCCTTTTATTGGAACAACACAAAAGCTGCTTCCATTTGTCTCCCTCTGTGTACTTAGACTCTGAGTGAAGCGTTTGGCAGCTTACCAGCCTGTAAACCTAATTCATTTTGAGGTTTCAGCATCTCCAAAAAACAGACACTCAGTGACAGTGAGTGAAGGATTTTCAGAACTTACATTTCTTGCCTGTATTTTAACAAAGCTAAGTTCTAAGATAGTAGACAAACCCTTGCTCTAAACTACAGAGTCTCACGGCTGTGGGTTCTCTGTTTGCATACAAGGCATTTTCATTACATGCTAATTAAATTAAATGCAACAGCTTGGCCATATGCATGGTAAAGTTACAGGAGTTTAATAAACTAGATGCAAATAATGAGGTAAGAAGCATAATGAAATGAAACTGAGAATTAAAACGTATGAACAAATGAAATGCAATGTCACTGCTAAACGTAACTACTTAGTACTGACTGATGTAAAGTTAAATTATGGTTTGTACAAAGACAGGAGTATTTCAACTAAATAAAGTTCTAAAAAGTTTGCATGTATTGTCTAAGGAATACTACTTATATCCAGAATGCTTTATTTCAGTGTTATGAGTAGACATATAAAATTAGTTGTTAAAAAACCACTGTGTCTTAACTGATAGTAATTAAAACAATGACCACAGAAACTAATGAAGTCTATAAAATTAAATGGGTGTGCATGTACTCAAGACAAAAAATCTCTCAAAAGGAAGAGTTAAATGCAGTTTCACACCCATTAAAATAGTTCCAAATACTCATGCAAAGTTTTTAAAAGACTTGACAAAAGGCCAACTGAAATTGGCATAAAGCTTCCCACAGACTTCAGTGGACATTGATCCAAGACCTCTGTTGTGTTATTTCCCAACTGTTCAGCTCCTCAAAAACACAAATCATTGATTCAAACACATCTTAACGAGAATTACAGCACGTAAAGTACAGAGACATAAAGTACAGGTTTTATTT